ATGGTATTTGGTTACTTATCATAAGAGAAATCTTACTACAGGCATCTCTCTACATTGTAGAAAACTATACTTCTGCTGGGTGTCTACAGGTCTTCAGAGTTCATGAAGAGAAGTCAGCAATACTAGGGTGTAATGCAGACTATCGAAAAGCAAATATCTAAAATAGGCCAGGTGAATCACGTCCCAGGAAAGTTCCTCTCCTTTGACTATAAAGACACACTACAGTGATTAGCTCAGCTACAGACATCTAAACTCCAGTTATCCAGAATAGCTGAAATGAATCCCACCGCCGGTGTCAGCAAACTGAAAATGGCTTATAATAAAACCCATTTGCTTTTCAACGGCTCGGCTCTGACGTGCAAGTCTGGAGTATCACTGACACAGCAAGCATGAACATCAGCAGAGTGGAGGTTGCCCCTGCCTGGCTGTGGGAGAAGACCCTGCCTACGAGACCCCAGGGTAGGGCTTAGGCTTTCAGCAGAGCACCAGAGAGAATCGTTACCTCACCAGATCATTAGACTGAATCTGTGATCAAAGACAGTCCGTCATTTAGAGGTCCGGTTTTGTTCTATAACGCAACTAATTGATTGGCAGAATTTCTGAAAAAAAACCCTTTGATTTCCCTTCCCGCTCTCCCAGCTCTCCTCGTCAACACGGCGTTAGCCGGGACCCAGCCAGTATGCTGACACAGCTCCCCAATTTCCTTTCCTCTGCTCCATTTCCTTTTCAAATTGAAAACTATTAGGAGTCTTTAGGCAAATAATAGAAACCTAATGCAGGTGCCTGTTATAAATCATTCACTAGTTACTTTTAACCTAATGTCTCCTCAAACATTACTTCGCAGAAGGTGGCGAGGGAAAGAAATGCCTCATGAACTCTGACAATCAGTGGGTCAGGAATTAAGGTCATAATAATGTAGCCCATTTCTTCTTGTTTGTCAAATGACCTGAACACAGTTAGATTCCTGGGTCTTTCATCTGAGATTGGCTCCCCTCGGTAAGAACATGGGTCTTGCCAAGAGCAATCCTCTTCTAGCATCATGCCCTGCCGCACACCCCGAAGTGGGGAAGGTGGGACGTGGCTGGTGTTGCCAGGTTAGTGCTAGTTCAGGGGTTTGCCACACTCAACGCTATAGCTTTCCTAGGCACAACCTGATGATGTGCTCGGTCCAGATCTGCCGCATGTCTGAGGTTAAATTAATCAATGTTTAAGAGGTAGCTTGACATTTGTAAATAGAAATCACTTGAGAAATTTGAAGTATTTTGCAGGCAAAATAAAATAGGAAGTAAACATTAATAACAAGAGTTAGTAATGACTGTTTTTTATGCAAAATAGACAAATGTACAGAAGTGCCTATTAATTCTGAATCACTGAAGCAAGTACCTAGGCTCAAGAGTTGGAAATGCTGCCTAAAATGCCAATGTGATCAGTCAATGTTAAAATTTGCCTTCATCAACTAGGCATCATGTGTCTTACTCTCAGAGACAAATTCCTCCTATGTTCACTGGAAATAATATCAAGCATTTCAGAGGGGATAAACCTCCAACCCTATGTATGTACAAAAGAAGGCATGCAAGAGGGCAATCTGTTAGCATATGTGCTCCTGAACACATGGAGCAACTGTCAGGTTGTTGGAAGTATTTCTCATCATGCTGGGTGCCCTCACATGCAGCATTGAATGGTGCTACATTGGTCACAGATCACTTTCCCCATTTGGCTCCCCAGTGAGGTGTAAATATTTCAGAGCTAATGCATAAGTCATGTACACCTGTGTTTCTGAGTGTCACAGTAGTGAGACATAACTCTTGGGTATTTCTGAGCATGAAGGAACGTGTTTTATTTTCTGTCATTGCAAATGGAAAATACATGGAGATTTTCAATGTTTAACACTCAGACTGGTTCTGCAAATTCTTGGACACCATTTCCTCCAGCCCCAGGCAACATCTCAGTGATGTTCTGCAAACACGTGCACCTCGCCAGGACTGGAAGACACCCGAGGCTGTGTCCACACGTGACTACCTACTGGGGCTCCACATCACTGAAAGCCAACATACGGAGTTCATTCACCCAAAAAAAGAACACCCCAAGCACACTTGCTATTACTGTGTGGGTGGACATTGTGATAGCAAACAAGATTAGAGGGATTCATATTCTTGCTACATCAATAGGTGTTGGGTGCCTTTGTCTTTCATTTGTGAATAAATCCAGACCTCACAGAAAATCCTGAATGCATTCATCATCTTACACTCATACTAGAAGAGAGAAAGAGTTAAGCTTATTTATGGATAAAATGTTTGAAATAATAAAAGGCATCACACCATGCACTGGACTGATTGGGAGGGGTGAGTAAGGTATAGCTCCTGAAGAGCAGGACGGCTTCCCCAGATGGTCTGCTCTGTATTTGCAGAGTGTAGTGCTTTGACTGCAAGGTGAAGGGGGAGATGGGGAGGCACATTAGGGATATGATAATGTAAGGTGAAGGAAGCAGTCTCACTGCCCTGAGAAGGAATATTGATGGAGGTCCTCAGGTGCAGGCAGAGAGGCTGATGGGCTTCTGAAGAAGGAAATTGCCTCCTGGTGTACTTCTGCTGTGCTGAGGAAAATAAGATTCTGTCTACATTGGTAAATAAATAAAACAGAACCAAAAAATAGTTGATTCTTATCAGGGACCTTCCAACCAAGGAAAATACTCTATACTCTTCAGGAAAGTATACAGTACTTTTTGAGATGATGAGTGGGACTCAAAAACCTCTGTTGCGGGCAGTGCCTCATGCACTGTTTGGTGTTAGTCCACATGAAGGACACAGTTAACTAGATGGACATGTGTCTGATCTAAGGTACCTATTATTTTTCTCATGAAAGTAATGACCCTAAAGCAAAGTGACATCAAAGCAATTTTAATGTACAGACTATAAACACCTTTCTTTGTAGGGAAGGAGCCATTTGTCCACCTCAACTTTTTATCTGGTAATAAAACAGGAATAAACACAAACACTTTGTAATTTAATTTCTCCACTGCATTCTCCCATGTGCTTCCATCTTCACTTCTCAGGTTTTCTAGATTGCCAGCTTTTTTTTTTTAATAAATACTCCCAAACACTTTTTGGGGGCCACATTTATAGTAATAAATAGAGATTAAACTTCCAGCACAAACATATAGTGATGTATACTTTGTCACTGCACCTATAACAACTTCTGTATGAGACTGTCAGAACCAGGGGGTCAGGTGTGATTAACTGAACTTTTCACAATACTTACACCTCTCATACAAATGTCACAATGCTGCAATGCCACAATACCACTAAACCTTTTGAACTACTGATGTAGCTATCATATTGATATAGGAATGAGATAATTTTGGTATCATTTGCTATTATATACATTAAGAATAGCAACAGTGCTATAGCCTGTCATCTACCACTAGTTCCAGTGCTGTGTGGAGATTATGAAGTATTATTGGTCCTATTTACTAACTGGGACATCACTGGCAGCACCAGCGCTTCATGATTAAAATATAGTTTCCTTTCTCCATTCAGCTGTTTTCTCATATCACACCAGTGGATCTTATGAGAGAACATGGCCCCAACCATGGTGCTTCTAACCCAAAAAATCTCTGCAATTTTTTGTTTTTTCTGCCACTCAATAGGCTTCATCATAAGAAAAAAATAATATTGCTGACTTCATAATTCCTAAAGCTTTTCTACAGCTAAAGTAACATCATAGAAACAGCATCACAATGGCCCATGGTGAGATCGTTTCCATTCCCCTTGTAGGTACTTGTAGCCTCAGGCCTGTCTTTGTCACTGATTCGTCAGACTTTGAGGGCTTGATTAAGTTGCCTAAACACAGACATCCATTTCCACTGAGTCACTTTATGGATTTCCATCTGAGATGTGTGAGGAGGGTGCAGAACCTCCTGGACAGCAGTCAGAGGTTAGGCAGGACACCGTGGGCATCTCAGGTGGCACTACATGGGCACAACCACACTAACCCCAGCAGTCTGACCTGCTATACTGTACATGTGTTTGCCTACACACAGTCGTGTACAGCTGTCAAACACAGTCCAGCACTCTTAGGCTACTTTGTCACATCTAGAGGAAGCACCCATCAGCCAGAAAAGTCCTTTTTCCCAAGAGCTGCTCCTTTGTTCTTTGGTATTCAGAGAGATGCATCCTGAAATGTGCTGTTCAATAGATTATTTCAGTTTGGGCTCAGTTCATTCTTAACTCTTCTTTGAAATTGTCCACAAGGCTAAATAAGCTACATTTTAGAGTGAAACTCACGTACTGTTGAAGTCTGTGAGCATTCTGCCACTGACTCCAAAGAAATCAGGATTTGAACCTAGAAAGTGTCTATCTGGACCAAGAAAGGCATGTTTTTCAATTGCCATCACCATTATCTGGAGAGGCAATGGAGGAACAGAGCTGGTCTCAGTGATGAATGCTCCGTCCCTGAAACCACAGTGGAAAAGGCACCGAGGTAGCTGCTCTTGGAGAAAAGGAAAGGAAACTGAACTGAAAGTCAGATCTGTTTTTTCTCTGAGATTTTTAAACAGCAGCTCCAGAAGTGTTACTTGCATTTTATTTAGTACTTACAGTGCAACAGCAATGAAACCTAACATTACAGGGAGTGTGTGTTCCCACCAGAAAATGTCTTCAACAGCTCATAAAAACCTGGCCATTTATCAGCACTGCAGGAGATCTTTATTACCTCCCTACAGCATATGCTCTTCTATGATGTAGTTATTGATTTAACAAGTAAACTTCGTGGCAAGCTTTTATCTTGGAATTAGCAGCGAGACTGAAATAGAGCCCTTATTATTCTAATAACAGAGATGTGAGATTCCTGCATGTTCCAAAGGCCATATCATCACCTTAACAAGCATCCCATTAGGGCTGTCTGGGCTGCCACATCAAAGTGTGAGCTGTGAGAACTTTAACAATCATGATATCATACTCACCCCCGGCAATTTCACAACCCTTTTGTTTTTCTTCCTACAGGTTTGGACATCAGGCAAGCTCAGGTTATAGTGCTGTCATCGGGTACCAAATGTATAAATGGGGAATACATTAATGACCAAGGGCTTGCGGTCAACGACTGCCATGCAGAAATTGTGGCAAGAAGGGCATTTGTTCACTTCCTCTACTCACAGCTGGAACTACACTTAAGGTAACTGAATTCTGTTGATGCTTGGGCAATGTTATACAGCCTTCAGTGGAACAGATCCATCCTCCAGACATTTGAACTACTTGTTTCTTTATGTTGTTATTTCCGAGTCTTTAGCTGATGAAGAACCAATACACTGCACAGAAAAAAATGAGAGTTATATAGTCTAGAGTGTTGGGTCATAAGCTCCTTTACTTCAGCTGATTTTCTTTCTGTAGCTATTAGATATGACTCATAAAGTTGGGTTTTATGAAGCCTGATGATTTTGTACAAATCTTTACGTGCGGGCTTATTAGCATTATTCACTGGCCAGAGAGTGGAAGGGGGTCATTTTGCTCACTGCAGCCATTTTCCTGTCTTCCTTGCTGCTGCTGAAATATCTCGAGGAAGTGATTTATTGATCGTTAATTCCTTCATCGACTCACTAGAGAACCAATGAGTGTTAACAGTACAGTAAACTTTGTGCCAAAGTGCAAGATGCTCTCACTCACTCCTTCTTTATGATGTTTTAAAATGTTATAGCATGTAGAATCATTACAGAGGAATTATTGTTCCTGTCTTCAGCCAAACCCACCTTGTTACCATTTAAATGGTTAATGGGTCATACATTGCCTGGAAGCTGGTAATAAGTGAGGCACCCCAGAGGTCTATCCTGGGACCTCGCTAATCATGTCTATCAATAATCTGGAAAATGCTATGTAGTGATTGGTTATAAGATTTGCAGAGGACACCATATTGTGGGGAGGACCAGTCGATATGCTTGAGGGCTGGGCTGTCATCCAGGCAAGCTGGAGGACAGGGCCAGCAGAAACTTTGACAGAAAACTCAACAGGGACAAATGGAAAGTCTCTCACCTAGGAGGAAAGAATGACCTGCAACAACACAGGCTGGACCCTTACCAGCTGGGGAGCAGCTCTGCTGAAAACGGATAGGGTTCATAGGCAGACGGCAAGCTGAATATGAGATAGCGGTGTGCCCGGCAGCAAGGAGGGTCAACGGGATCCTGGGCTGTAGGAAGAGTCAGCCAAGGGATTGATCATCCCCTACTACTCAGCACTCATTAGACCACATCTGCAATACCATGCGCAGTTTTGGGTCCCCCAATACAGAAAAGATATCAACCATCGGAAGCAGGTTCAGCAAAGGCCTCCTGGATGCTGAGGGGCCAGGGCACTTGGCCTGTGTGGAGGCGCTGAGGGAGCTGGGCCTGGTCAGCCTGGAGATGGGATGGCAGACCCAGCAGAACATATGTCAACCATACAATGGAGCTGGCATCTTTACCAGGGTGCACAGTGGGAAGATGACAGACAACAGGCACACACCGAAACAAGAGAAGCTTAGTCTGAATATTAGGACAAACTGTCCACATGGCAATAGGCAGGCAGTGGAACAGGTCACCTGGCAAGGTTGTGCAGTCTCCCTCCTGTCTTGGAGGTTTTCAAAACCTGAGTGAATAAAGCCCTGAGCAACCTGGCAAACTGCTTTGAGCAGGAGGTTGGGCTAGAGACCTGAGGTCCTTTCCAGCCTGAATTATCCCATGATCCTATGAAAATTGAGCAGAAGTGAAGCTGAGGTGGCATTTATTACATGGAAGGAACCAAGGAATGAAGGAAGCAAGGACAGAAAACAAACAAAATCCCCCTTTATCTATAGGTCATTCTTCCACCCTCCATTCTTGCTTGCATTTTCATGTGACTTTATCAGAAGGGCATTAACCTCTGTGCAAAAACTCTCTTTGACTTCAGAAGGTTTTGCATCAGGTCACTGACACAAGGATTAATCTGAGCAGGATTGTGTGTTCTTGTGAGCACCTATGATACTGTTGCACCGAAGCAACAATAATAGGAATAATGGTTATTTTCACTTCACACTGGAGTTGAAGACAAGAGAGTATATTGAGTAGATGAGCTTGGCTAACAAAGGGGGACAAGAACCCTGAAGGGTTTAATCAAAACCAATATTCTCTCTATTTCAATCTGAATTGCTTTCAAGTTTACATTAAATTATTATGTTTTCATCAGTGTAGCAGCCCTAGTACTTGCTTCGTGCTACGGTCTCTTGGGAAACAAGTGCTACCACTGTATCTTAAACTATTGTATCGATCCACCTCCCTAACATGTTCAGTCATATTATTATTTTATTTGGATCAATGTCAACAGTCTTTTGTTAAGAGAGTCCTCAGCGCAGCACAAATTCTGTTCACAATAACTTCAAATCACTCTCTGTTCAGCCAAGAGCAGGCGCCACTGCTTCTCTGACCAGCACACATGATAAAAAGCTGAACCAAAATTGTCAAGGCTAAGCACCTTTGAAAGATAGAGCTGGAGATATTGTCAAATCAGATTTTGCTTCCTTAAAGTCCACAGGGAAGTAAAACTGTGTGCTATAATATATTCTTCAATTCTAGTATTTATCGCTACATTCAGTTTTATGCCATCATCCGGAGCTTTGACAAGCGAGAAAACGGGGGTGTTCGAAATGAAATGAAAAATGCATTTTCTGCACATTGAAGTCATATTTACCCCTTTTTCTCTAGAAAAAGAGAGACAACTCCCACAGGCAGAGAAATCATATGGTGCTACCGCATAGCTAAAAGGACAGGGTTTTTAGGACAGACGTGTTAACTCAGCTCCACTGGGACTCTCTGCACACCAGCTCCTCAAGCTTGGGGGAAACACAAATGTGGCTTCTGCATTGTTATGCATTTGCACTTACCTAGCCCAAATTAAATCCCTCTTCCAGGCCAGGAACCTGTTGTACAAATTCCTATATGAACTGAGACCAAAAAATGGTTCCCTAACCCCAAAAAAGAATGAAAGCATAGTACTTGCCTCAAAGAGCTTAAATTTTCCATCCCTCCCTCTGGAACCCGCAAGTTGGTTCTGTGGAGAGTATTCCCTATTTTCCACAAATCTTCCTCCCACCAAGCCTACCTGCTCAAATTGATCTCCACAGCTGGATTTCAAACTTCAGGAATTTCCAGCACAAGACTTATTTTTCTATATGATGCTGTCCTTGAAAAGGAACCACTTCTCCAGAATTTACAAATGCTGCCATTGACCTCAGTGAAAGCAAAACAAGTACTTGCCTGAGTGTAGCATGAAAGGCTTCAAAGAGCAGGGACAAGGATGCTGGAGAAAGTGAGGGCCAGGGTAGAGAATTAATGGCCAGGAGAGATGGAGTCACTGAGTTGAATATATGTCTTAACACTGTTCTTGAGTTGTCTAAAAGTTAGTCAGTTAAGTGTGAACTAGATCCCCAAGGCTTCTTTTATCACCACTGGAGAGACATGGGCATCTCTGGAGTGGGACTCAACAGACTTACTCAGGTATCTATTGTAGGTGAGATGAATTGCCATGTACTGGAGCAAATTTTTTTCCATTCCTATAAAGACAGCATAGGGTGACTTCTTCAGATATTTGAACTGTAGAGCAGTCCCATCCACAAGCCAAAGTTGCAGCTTTATGTAAATTACTTTTTTTTCCTTCTCTTTGTATTGCTAAATGTTAGAGATGAGGCTTTCCCAACTTTTACTGGGAAAGAGAGTTCCAGAATGGGAACTTTACCCTTGCTAAGAAGCAAGAGTGACAAATACTTCAAAAGGAAACTTTCTTTCAACAATTCATTGTCTAGAGCTTGGGTTAAATAAAAGCCAAAAGCACAACTAAAATCTGATAGCTTCTAACCAGTCTGATTAAAACCCTTACCCCTCCCAGATTTCATTTTTATGACAACCATAATCCTCCAGTTCTCAAGACTTTCACGAAAAAGATGAAAAGTAAGACATAAATTTTCTGATGTACAAAAGAAGGACAAAAAAGACCTTTTGAGAAGCTTTTTCTAAAAATTGCCATCAAAAAGTACACAAATACCATAGTCTGAATCTCTTGCAATGATGGCAGTAAAATTTATATGGGTTTCAGTGGGATTATTTATACCAACTGACCAATAGGGAAGAAAAGAAAATCCAACTCTTCTTTTTTAAAGAAAACAAAACTAATACCTTATTCTTAAAAGAAACCAGTACCATAGCAGTCTTGCAGCACCTGCAGGTGCTGGAGCAATGATTTTACCAGAAGCTAAGATCTTCCAGTGAGTCAGATGCAAACAACTGTTTAGTTTATACATAAAAAGCAAGGAATAGTCTTCAACCAGTCCAGCTGTTTTCTCCAGGAAAATCAGCTGCTTGTTATACACCTAATATTTCTTTTTTTTTGTCCTACTAGCCTCTTAATGGACACAGCTCTGTCCCTTTTAAGCCTGCTATTAGTTTCTCTAGGATGCCGTGCTGTTGCAGGTAGCACTAGAGATTTCCCGTACGTATGTTTACATGCTAAAAACAGCTCCTCTCCTTCTCTTTTAGAGGGTGAGGACTCGTTTCAGCAAAACACTTTGCATATCTTAAACCATAAGTACGTGCTTAAATCTTGAAGTCAGCTCAAAACATATGCATGTGTTATGCAAAATAATGAACTTAAGCACAAGATTAGAATTAAGCACATTCTTAAATGTTCTTCTTGAATCAGCCTCAAATCCTAACTCTCCCATGGAAATTCATAACAGGCAAAGGTTTAGGGACAAATTCTGCTCTTTTAGCCACAGCCAGCATGCGGAAATGACCCTTTAGTGCCACCCCCGGAATGAATGACATTTGTGGGCTCACTGTGGGCTTCTCTCTTCATTGCTTTGTGCAGGTGTGTATGGCTGTGCAAAGTGGCATTGCAAAGGACTGCTGCTGCAAACTCATTTTCCCACTCACAGCCCAAAACGACAACCCCAGAGGGAAGGCAGAACTGTACAGGTGCTGGGGGTGAAGTCACTTTGCAGAAGTGCATCTCATGCTCCACATGGACCAGTTTTGCAAGGTCCCGGGGTCCCCCTGGGCTTTGAAATTCCCCAAGCATCCCATGCACAAGAATCTCTGCTAAGACACAGCAGACGGTATTGCATCCCAAACTCTTTTATAGCAATACTCTCAGAGTTGCGTTATTAACCTCTTCAGCCACTGTGCAGGAGAATGAATCTCATGTTTGAGTTCAGCCCCCAGAAAACCATCCCAAAGGCAGGTCAGGACCATATGTGGTACGGAGGATCTCAGCCTCCTGGAGGAAGAGTCAAGCTGCTTTGCCCTCCAGCCCTGCCACCTATTTTTAGAGCAGCTGTCTATCACCCAACCCATCAGCCACACTGGCCGCAGACCCTTCTTGGTACTCAGGGAGAGGGAAGAGAGCAAGGTTAATCAGTGAAAAACAATAACCAGTAAAACCAGGATGGGTGCTGATTACTGTGAACTCCTGAAATCCAGCCCAAAGAATGACTGCTCCAACCCTACATAGCAACTGTTTCTAAGTACTGCAAGCTGCCCCCCACTCCGGTGAGGTTTAACATAATAATAGCAGGCATTAGGGCTGCACAGCTTTGTATTCTCCCAGCTGATTTTGCAGTGAATTATTTAAAACTAACTGCAATTGCTCTAATGTCCGAGCAGCAGGACTTACAGGTATTTTATTATTTCAGAGGCTTGTATCAGGGCCATAATATAATTAGTGCAGTTGGGAAATTCCACCACAGCCAGCAGAAAATGAAGGAGCTGCATGTGGCAGCCCCGGCTCAGCAGCTGGTGTGGCTCCCTGTCCCTGACAGGCGAGCTAATGTGCCTGTAAATTCCTCCTGACAGCAAACGCATCCCGGCATCAAAAAATGACAAAACACCCAAACCATGGAAGAGTGACAGCCAAACAGCTTCAATAGCACAGAGGCTGCACCCGGAGAAAACAGGCAGAGGCAGCTTGGATTAAAGCCAAGGACTTGCTCCGAGGCTGAGTAGAAAGCAGCCCTGTTTACACTAACAGGAGGCAGAGAAACCAGCAGAAATCGCCTTGGTTAATGGGCTGTCCTATAGTGAATTAAATGGGTAGGATTCTGGCTTATTAAGAGCCTCCTAGGAAAATCATTACCTGCAGGTGCCTTCCTGTTCAGAGATATTCCTGAAGAAAGACCCTCGAGTTTCTGAGGGGAGGACCGGGGCATCTGACGGAAAGGAGCCTCATTACAATTTCACTAATCACATTTTCACCTTCAAAATTATAATCACGACCATCACCCAAACGTACTTATTAGAGGCAGCTGCCTGTCAGAGAATTCACCCATATCTTCCCAAATGTAAATCATCCGAGGCACCGCACAGCAGCACAGCCTTAATGCGAGCTATTGCTGCAAACGGCAGGACTGGGAGGGTTTGGCCTCCCGGGCAGCTGTTGCTAATGGAATATGTGTGCTGTGTCCCCATCTAGCTGCTGAACCACTGCGAAGAGAAAAGCTTCGTCTTAATAAGTATCTCTTTCAACTCATCTGAGAAAAGCCTCCACAAGTTTTGTCCTCCCCTCTCAGGATGGCTTCTGATTTCCAAAAATGCCAAGTGACCAAGAGGACACTGCTGGCTTAGATGGAGCGCTCGTAGGTGGCTCTGGTTGAAGGGGGGAGAAAAGCAACGCCTGGGGAGCTGGGAGGGTTGGCAGGGGTCGTAAAATCCGGGTGCTTCATTAGAGGGCCTTTTCAGTGGAGCATATAAATGCACATCTTGGTTGCAGTGATGTTAATGGGATTTAAACACGTGCCTAGGCATTGTGATGAGCAGAGCCGATTTGCTCACATGAGAGCCTAAGAGAACTTTTCCTTCTTTCATGCACCAGAACCTCTTTAAAATCAATGTGTTTATGCATCTGTGCATGTGAAGAAGGAGAGTTACCCTTCAAAAATCCACACGTTTTATCATTAGAATATATTCTAGGTAAGCAAGCCAAAAGCACTTTGACAGTTTTGACCCCCTTCACACATTTCTTCACTTGGAGAAGCTTATTGTTTTTCTCTTGTCACTAGGCAAAATATATGATGCCAGGTGCTAATAAAAACAAACAAACAGAGGGAGAAAAACAGAGAGAGAAAGAGCAGAAATGTTTCTGATTTGGCGTGTAACAAATGACCTGGAACCTCTTTTGTGATCATAGCAAACGGCGAGAAGACTGGGAGCGATCAATCTTCGTGCGATTAAAAGAGGGAGGCTACAGGCTGCGGGAGAACATCCTGTTCCATCTGTACGTGAGCACTTCACCCTGCGGAGATGCACGCCTCAACTCCCCCTATGAAATCACAACTGACTGTAAGAAAAAAAAAAATCCCTCTCCTTTTTCCCCTTTGCTTGGGTTTTTTCTTTTCTTTTCTTTTTTAAGATCAGTCCTTCTTTCTTTCTTTGTTTGCTTGCAGAAAATGTTTCTCTTGAGAGCAGAAACATTACGGGCTGTGTGACACATGTGTGTCTGTGCAACTGGTGCTTGGTCCCGTGTACTGGACAAAGGTGTGCAGGGAAAATTAGAGCTGGGCAAGGCAGTGGGAGGCTGCTCTGCGTGCCTGAGGCTCAGTGGCTTTGCTAGGGAATATGTCCCCAGTAGCCTGCATTTCCTGCTAGGAAATGCAACCCCAACAGTAAATAAATGCCTTGGGAAGGGTCCCCATGATCAAAGCGATCCCTGAAGCCAGGTCATGGGCTGGACTACAGGATCAGGACTCTAGCTGGGGATGCATAGACTTTTCTCAGGGTTCAGGCAGTACGTATGGGTTGAAGGGCTGCATTTACACTAAACCTGAGCTGTCCAGGCTGCAGCGGCTGGAGTCTGAATTAGAGAGATGAGATGAGATGATATGATATCACACATCTGTAGTGTTGGTTGAAGGTCAGACTCTCTCCAGATATCACCTGCCCTTGCAGCGAATAATGTCCAGACCCTTCTGGAAAGGATCCTTCCCAGGCCATCCTGCCTATGTTAAATCAACTGCATGGTCACTGCTTGGCAGATGGGCTAGAGGCAGTCTACCAGGCCAGCCTTGGAGTCCCTGGGCCCAAACCTATGGCATTTAAGCAGAAACATGATTTTCCAGGGATTTCTCCTCTAGAGGTGATCTTGCAAGTGAGGTAAGCAAATCAGGTCTTGAGCCAGTGTGTGCCACCAACAGACCTGCAGAGCTTGTTGTCCATGAAAAGACATCCCGTCTCCAGCATATGACCCAGCACTCTGATCTTGTCACCCCTCCAAACATGCATGTCCCTGTCATTGCCCTGCCATCACAGAGGCTCGTCCTTGTTGTGTTCCCACTGCACCAGCTTTGCCCCTGCCAAGCCACAGCGAATGCCCCCAACAAAGGACAGGGGACTTGAGAGGTCCATGGCTTGTTATCACACGTGTCTGTCATCCCATGATCAAATGCACGATGCACAAGGTGCACTCTTAGCCCTGCCCCTAGGTATTGCTTCTCATACATGCATTTTACAGTGCTTTAATCCCCATAGTGCTGGCTGCTAAATGTACATATATATAATGAGAAATAGTCCTTGCCCTGACTACCTTGAATGTGAAGCAGGCAAGACACAAGAATGGATGGAGGAGAAAGCATAGACACAGTAATGTAAAATTAATCATCCAAGGTCACACAACGACCTAACTTCCTCACAGGCAAATCCATCAGACAGTAGTTTTCACTCCCAGTTCTTATTTGTACAAGTTATTTATTAATGATTAGGTATTATTCTCCCCAGACTGGAATCTTTTTGTCACCTGTGAAACAGCAACTTGCTGGGGCGAGAAAGCAGAATGCACCTATTCAGGAAGGAAATACCCTTCCTTACCTGACATGATTTCTACATTCTGTCAGCAGGGTTTATAAAATGAAGAAAAGCAAGTACATGTTTAAAAGGCAAACAGCAAATTGACAAATTCCTGATGAGGTAACAAAATGAGGAGATGTAGCATCATCTTAAAAACAAAATTAAAAATAAAAAAGTGCCTATGAATATCAAAAATGAATAGTGATTTTTGGCATCCCACTTTATGTGCGTATCAAGAGATATCTAAAAAGGCTTTATATTTAGTTAAAGGCCCTCGTGTTTTCCAGAAGGCGGGCTTCCTGGGGCACCCCTTACTTGACATCAGAAACGGAAGCACCAAAATCTGTAATTATTTTTAAAATTTAGTCCATTCTTGAGAACAACCGAAAGCTGTCCAGGATGGATTCTGCTCTTTCATGCATAAGGAAGCAGGTGCTTTGGGCAGCTGACAGCCTATTGATATGCAGCTGAACACAGCCCTAGAGGTGAACCATGCTTGGCTCCTGGGTTGCTTCAAAAAACACATGAATCCACCAGCTAATGAGGGAATGCTTCTTTAGATAACAGTACATACAGGAAGCTGTGTTTAAAAATACATGATCATGCAACACCTGACACATACAGTAAACTTGTAGGAAGTCACAAAAATACTTTTCATGTTGGTTATTACACTGATTAGTGTCCTGATGCTGAGGCAGAAAGGGCTGTGTGGCTTACCCAAGGTTACACAGTGATTCAGTAGTGGGACTTGAAGGGGCACTACATCTGGTTTGTAATTCACTCTTTTAAGCAGATTGCTCTACCTTTGTCCTGTGCTCTTAAAATAATTTAGCGCTGTGTAAAAAAAACATGTTGCCAAAAGCTGTCCTTCAGTGAGATAAGCATTTCCTTTTAGCTCACATTATCCCAGAGACATCTGGGAAGATAAGCATTTTATAATGTTTATCATTCAGATCTTCTCTTTTCTTTTTTTTTTTTTACTAAAGAAATAACCTTTCTTTCATCCAGTAATGACAAGAAACTCCAGATGAATGCTGTTTCATTTCTTAAACAACAAAGAAGCCTCTCCTAGAGCTAGTGCAAGCCATCAAACGTTACTGATTATTCTCTAAAGATGCATTAACATTTAAAAACAGTGTCTCGCCATGTGGTTTCTGGTTTTGCGAAGGAATATGATAAGCCTATATCAATATAGGGAGTGAGTAAAATCCACTTCTCAAATCTCCTTCCAAAAATTTCCTATTATCCACCGTGTCTTCCCAGCACCCTCAGGGAGGTCTCACATTTCCTTCTTATGAGCTTTGTTCTGGTAAGGGAGGAGATAAGCGAGCATGCACTTGAAACGCCGTTTACTTCTTACTGAGTAGTGCAGGGCATCAAGTTAGCGGCATGTGTAAAAATCTGACCTTACCGTGGTTCGTGTGAACAGCTGCAATGCAGAGGAGAGGTCCAGAGAGCCCCCACCCATGCCACGTTCATGCAGGAAACTGAGAGATTCAGGACAAAAAGATAAAATCCCACTTTGATTTGCAATGATGCCCTTCTTGGATCAGAGGTGAGCTGACTTGTTTGTTGATACATCCTTAGGCAGCTCTAAAAGAGAGGCAAAATCCAGCTGGACCAGGGCTGCTCTCAGCATGGAGGGTTTTCTAACTCCTTTTTGGTGCGTGTAGGTCAGGAGGCTGGAAGAGCTTACAGGGGGATTCAAGTGAAGCTGAATCTTTGGGGGAGGCTGTACAATCCAAGAGAGCAGGGGAGGAGGCTGAGGGGAGAGGCGCAGGAGCTGGCGACAGCGGGAGAGGAGACCAGCCAGGGTCGGTGGCGTTGCAGGAATAGGAGGCTGGGAAATGCCAGAGGGGTTTCAGACAGTTGTGAGCATTTTTATGGGTTTGTCCTGGCTCCTTCTCTCTAGCCAGTCTCCAAGGTCACCCACAAGGTTGTAGCACAGCTATATGGTGAAGAGGCAGCATGTTCCCAGTGTCCTTACCACTCTCTAATTGCTCCTTCACACACTCAGCTTCTGCTCCTGCTTCAGTTCAGTGCTTTAGGTCAGGGAGCCTAAGACAACGTCTCCTTTTCTGTACCTTCTCCCTTTATGTACATCCAAGCAAGGTATACCTGGATTTCTGACTTCTCCTGAGGGCAGTATTGCAGCACAAGTTAACATGGGTTTCCTGGAGGTTTCAAGGGGGCTGATGCTCTACTCCGCTCTGGTGAAAACCCACATGGAGTACTCAGTAGGTCCAGTTCTGGAGTCACAGGAAAGACATGGACCTGTTGGAGTGGATCCAGAGGAGGGCCACAAGAATGGTCAGAGGGATGGAATGCCTCTCCTATGAAGACAGGCTGAGAGAGTTGGGGTTGTTCAGCCTGGAGAAGAGAAGGCTCTGGGGAGACCTTATCGCAGCCTTTCAGTACTTAAAGGGGGCTTATATGACAGATGGGGACAGACTTTTTAGCAGGGCCTGTTGCGACAGAAGAGATAATGGTTTTAAACTAAGAGAAGGTAGATTCAGACTAAATGTAAGGAAGAAATTTTTTATAATGAGGGTGGTAAAACACTGGAACAGGTTGCCCAGAGAGGCTGTAGATGCCCCATCCCTGGAAACACTCAAGGTCAGGTTGGACAGGGCTCTGAGCAACCTGATTTAGTTGAAGATGTCCCTGCTCACTGCAGGGGGTTGGACTAGATGACCTGTAAAGGTCCCTTCCAAACAAAACTATTCTATGATTCTATGATTCTATATTTTCCATTACAGCACACACACTCCAGCTCATGAGGTGGAGCTGCAGCCATGGGGGCAGCTAGCCCTGTAATATTTGTTGCATATTTTACACCTTCTCCTGAATCTAGGGCAAACCACAGAATAATCAAGCCCTTGATTTGCTAAAGTGCCTTCCTAGCTAATTTAGGGCTTCTTGACACATTGGCTTTTTTTTTAAGAGCCTCTTGAAAAGCAAAATGAATTGCTTAAAAAATTGAGCTAATAAATCCTCCACTTCTCCACTCCTCCTTCCCTGGCAGAATTTTACCTCATTGTCCATCTTTCCACTAGAGATGCACTCTCTCTTTTTTTACTATATAGATTGCCAGAGACAAACAGAATCTGCCCCAGGGCTTGTCTCCATTCTTCTCCCCTGGGTTGCTTTTCTATCTCTTGCTAACATGCTGTATTGCCTTGTACCATTGACTCCTTGATAGCCCAGCTCCTGTTTTATCCCCCGCTCCCTTTAGGTCTGAAACACACCATTGCATCTGCTCCACATGGGGTCTTCCTCCTGCTTGTCTATTAACCTACAGCTGTGCTGAAGCTCTCATGCACACACATTTGACAGAGCTCTCATCTAAACAGGATCCACTTGCAACCACGTGAGCTGGATCATTGCCTTGGTAGGTGATGTGATGGGGAGATGTGCACTGCAGTTTTCAGAGAAGTTGGGAAACTGAACAGTACCCAGAAAGACAAGTTTGCGCTCTCAACTTCAAGTGTGCTTTCACT